GATCATCAGCAATCGATCTATGAACTCATGAGGGTCTTCCTCGTTAGCACTAGAATATTGAGCTCTTGCCACCAAAGAAATCAATGATGGTTTCAACTCAAAATTGTTTGCTTCCACCGTCGGCCTGACTATGCTTGAGTTTGGCCTATTGAACACTGGTGTCAGAATACTTTCCAACAATCTTGGGGGGTGGATTGTGGCCTATGCCACCATCATCGTTGTTGTTTCCTTCCATCTCTTGTTTTGGTTGTGCAGGTACGCTTTTCAAATCTTCCCAAATTATCTGCCTAGCCGCCTTCCTCAGTCTCCTCTCAGTCCTTGAAATTTCAGGATCAAGCAAAAAGTCTTTAGGTGGAAGTCTACCTCGCATAAAACTCAGAAAAATTTGTTAATAGCACCTGTAAAATGCAAACAAGAATAATAAAAATAAAATAAAATTCAATCTCAAAAATCAAATGTTATTTGTAATATTGAAATTTTCAATCCCCGGCAACGGCGCCAAAAACTTGATGCTATCCGGCAAGTATACCGTTTCGCATAAGTAGTAAAGTAGTAAGAAAGATCGTCTCCTCAGGGATTGAAAACCAAGTACTAAAATAATCAGTCACTTTAAGTTGAAAAACTTGATCCTTTGTTGGGAAAATTAAATTGAATCTTAGTAACCATAAAAGTAAAGACTTATTTTTGAGTTTTTGTATTTTCAAGAATGAAAAGAATAATAATAATGGAGTTGGTTTTGAAAATATGAGAAAGAATTGCAGTTAGGGAACACTCTCCCTATGATCCCCACTTATTACTTTGGATTGATACAAAATACTTATTTATATAATTTCTCAGATAATTATGATCTCAATATATTAATAATTAAATCTCAATCCCTTGGTAACTTAACCCTTTAACCTCACTTAGAATCCTAATCACTTAGTAACCCCTCATGAGAATTAAGCAATGAACACAGTAATTCCAACATCTGCAATTAAATATACATCTATCCCTAGTATGCATACCAATAGTTATCTTATCTCCTTTCGAGATCAGAAACCCCAATATCCCTATTTAAGGTTCTAACCCTTAAACTATTTTCAACTATCAAATTGATCAGGTTTAATAAAGAAAATATCAAATACGCACAAGATAAGATAAAGAAATTTATATAAACGAGTAAAATAATTTAAATCAATCCGTCATAACAAAGGTTCACATAGGGTTGTGACCCTAACTACAATAAAAGAACTTAGCCAGACATAATCATATCTGACATAAACAAATATTTAAAAGAAAGCATAAAAACTATAATTACTGGAAAGAATGGAAAAGAATTCTTGATCTTCAGTCCTCTACTGCTTGCTCCGAGTTGTGAATTGGTTCTTGTGTTGTGCTCCCAATCTCCTTATTTATAACCACCGGCATTGAGCCCATCCAAGAGTTTGTATTTGATTTAAACTTTGTTTCCTTTTTTTCATGTAACAACCTTGGAGATTTGATTGATAAATTAGAATTTCAAATCTTGATTCAGTCTTACCACAAATCATCTAATCTTATCTCTAATTTGGATAGAGATCTCATTGCTGAATCAAAAACTTGATTTTTAAATCTTTTTCTTTTCCAAAATTGCCCCGTTGCAAAACACGAGGTCTGAGAATTCGCAAACTGACGCTCTCAGCGTCAAATTCACGCTTCAAGCGTGAACGCTTCTGTCTGAAAAATTTCTTCCACGCTGTCAGCGTGAGATCCACGCTTTGAGCGTGGATTTTGATTTTGCAAAATCCTCGTTTTGCTCCAGTTTGTTTGCTTTTTCCTACAAAATTAGCATAAAATCAGTATTCAATCCTTGATTAAGATTTTGACAAATTAACAGTGATTCTTGCTCTTTTTCTCAAGATTTCATCAACATTCTTTCTCTTTTTGGCTCAGATTTCCTTATATGCTAGGCGCATATCAATTCAATTTTAAAAAAAATTCTCCCATTGTTCCAGCTGACAATTTAGGATTGCTTGTTTCACAAATTGATAATAATGTGCGTCTTGATGAAAATTTTGTTCTTCATCTATCTATTGCTGGTTATATGTTATTGATATGAAGATAAGCCAATTCATCTATCTATAATAGAGAAGCCAATTTCTCTATTATACATTATTAATGAACTTTCCAACTAACCTAATGATTCACTTTTGTCAGAGTTTGACAGTACATAACTTCTACTTCGGCGAAGGGTCAGACATGACAGGAGTTCCAACCAAGATGCTGACAGCAAATTGTTCAATGAGAATTACAGTGCATAACCCTGCAACATTTTTTGGCATTCATGTCAGCTCCAAGTCGGTGAATCTCATGTAATCTGAGATTATAGTTGCAACTGGTGAGGTCAGAATTCTTACACTGACCACTACTCTTTGATTTAGAATGTTTGGTTTGAGGGGAACAAATGGAACATATGTAGAAGAGAGCTTTCTGCTTCTGATGTTGATAGTGATCGCCACTCTTATTTCTGTTTAATTCCATGTTCACATACATGTTGATGCAGTTGAAGAAATATTATCAGCAGAGAAAGAGTCACAGAACAGTGTCTGTCAACCTGCAAGGAAGCAAGGTTCCTTTATATGGCGCTGGTGCGAGCTTAGCTGGCTTGGTGGACAATGGGAAAATACCAATGACGCTTTTCTTTGAAGTGAAATCAAAAGGGAGTGTTGTTGGGAAGTTGGTGAGTTCTAAACATAGACAGCATGTCTCTTGCTCAGTCACCATTGATTCCCACAACAACCAACCTATCAAACTTAAAGAGAATGCATGTACATACGTATGAGTGGTTTGGTTTTGGTATAGCTGCAACTAGTTTCTTGTATGCTATTTCAATTCATTCAGGTGGTATGAAAAGGGAAAATTAGTCTATAAATGTAATGGTACAATTTTATTTCTCCTTCCTACTAGCTATTTGTCATTTCCGTTATTGATATCATCTTTCCTTGAACTAAGCTTTTTCCTATTGTCTGTGACAATAAGGAAATGATGACATACATATCAATGTGGACTCGCCTCAGCGATTTTATGAGTAGTTCAACTGGTTTAAACTTGTAGTTCCGGACAAAGTGGAGTAACTATAATTTGACCATTTTCCACTTGAGTAACCCAATAACTTCGTCTCTTTATTCAAGCCTCACTGTCACAGTTAAATGGGTGAGAAAAGCTGTATTATGGAGATTAAATATGGCCCCTAATCTTCCAATTATTTCCTATAATTCTGTATTAGCAGATTACATGAACCAAGACGAAGGATGAGGAGGAACTTAAAAAAAATTCCCAAACATCGTAGAGATAGATGCTTTACCTTAAAATTTGGAATCTTGGTTCCGCAGGCCTTTTCCTTAAAAATTTATGAGTAAATACCTTTTTTTTTTGTAATAAGAGTAAATACCTTTTTTAGTATTAAAGATCAAATAGGCCTCGATAAATTTGTCAAGGATCAAATAGGGCATTCGATACTAGGGTTAGCTGTTCAAAACTCCAAGAAGACATAAGACATACTCAAAACGTCGTTATATTACTTCCACGCTGGACTACTTAACGGTGATTCGGCAAACTAACGTTCCCACACGTGTACTCTGTTAGTTGGGCCGTTAGATGCCAAGTAACAGAAGGACAAACGTGACACTATTTTTGTAGAATTAAGGATCAAAATGAACTTTTTTATTGTTGGGGACCAAAAGGGACTTTGCGAAAATTGTGAGAATGAAAAAGAAAAAGGGTATTTACTCTTTTTCTTTCCTATTCTTCAAAACACCCGGCCGCCGCCACCATGTCTCAAATCTAGCTTCAAGAAATTTATTCCTGGTCACTATCGTAAACAACTGACATTCGACATTCGTCGCTTGACTACTGTTGTTTTCCTAGATGAAAAGAGTCCTATTCTGATTTCAAATCCCTTCTTTTTGACACTGCCTATAAACTCCTTACTCTTTTGCTTTGGTTCCTGCAATTAGACATTCAAACAACATTGGAACAACAGCAAATAATCCAGTCCCTTGTCCATGGTCGCCATTTGCTGTCCGTCGCTGCTGTTTGCCATCTGACATGTCACCCGTTTGTTGCCCGACGTGTTTGCTTGTTTGCTTCCCTCTGAACTTCATTTGGAAACCAAAGAGTGTCCAAGGAACGATGGGTAAAATTGGTTTGTAGAATTTTGGAGTTGCTTCTTGCTTCTGCTTTTTTCAAAAGCCAAAAATTTTGACTTTAAAAAAAAGTAATATTTTGACTTTTTTTGTTAACTTCCTCCGTTAAAAGCTAACATCCAAACAGTAGAAAAATTTCAAAAAAGCACTTTTTTTAATTAATACTAAATAGAGAAAAATAAATACTACTTGTTGATGGATCGTTTGGATGAGTTTTTTTTCTTCACGCTTTTTTTCAAGAAAAAAAGTACTTCTCGTTTTTAGTTCGTTTGGATGTCTGCTTTTAAAAAAAACAAAAGTCACAAAAAAAAGCCAAAAATATATTTTTTCCAGAAACTAAAAATTTTAACTTATAAGAAAAGCAAAACTCAAAAGTTAAATATTTTTTTCAAAAATTAAATATTTTTATATAAATATAAATAGCTTTAACTTTTATAAAAATCACTTTTAAAATAAGGAAGAGATAAAAATTACTTTTTTAAGAAGCGCAAACAAACGGGCTCTAAGTGCAAACAAAAGAAAAAGAGAGGCTAAAGTTAAGCAAAATAAAAAAAAATGTAATTATTTATATTTTAAAATATTTAACGTATTCTTTTTAACTTGGTCAAATTTAAGTACAAACATCAATTTATATAATTTACATCATTTAATTCTCACTTTACTTATTATGCACTGTATCAGATTCTTATTTTTAAACAGTTGTAATATTTTTTTCTTATTAAATATGTTATGGTTGGCAATAATGCAATATAGATTGAGTATCTCAGAAGATATCAAATAAATATATCTTTAACCCCAACTAACCTCTTTTTTTAATTTTATTTTTGCCATTATTGGTTTTCTCCCAAACCAAAAACGCTGCGTTGAAAACTGTTTGATTTCCATTTATAAAATCAAACCATGTTTTTCATCTTTTGCATCTCACTCCGCCGCGCCGTACTTCGCTGCTCGTCGCAGTCCACTCTATTTCCGGTGATTTTCTTAGCTCTCAGTTATTCTTGTTTGTTTATCATGTTACCAAATATATACTTATATAATTGTACTAACTATAATGTATCATTTTCCCCACGTTTGTGGTGTTAGTTAGACTTACTGTTAGGTCTCAAAGAGGTTGACTAATTTGTTTGTTTATTGAATTGTGGCTAATAATTTTATTTTTCCAACTCTTTTGAGCTAAGTTGTGTTCTTCACTTTGGATCTCTGATTCATGTTGTTTTGTTCCGCCATATTCATTGAATATGAGTATTTTGTTGTGCTACTTAGGAATAGTGATTTATTGAACATATTTTTTTTAAAAAAAGAAAATTTTGTTTTTAGAAAATTCTGCTCGGCTAAGCAGGAAGTTAAGAAAGTACTCATTGTTAAGAAAGTACTCAAACGATGGTTGAGATTAAGATTTTACTTCATTATTTTGAAGAAGAAAAGATTAAGGTTAATGAAATCCTGGGTTGAAGATTGTATTCATTTATCCTCTGCTGCATTTTTGTTGGGCTGAACTTTGTTCTATAAATCTTTGTATTTAAACTTAAAACAACAAGATGTTTACTATGTTCACTAGGTGCTTTTTGCCTTCAGATATATACCGTATATACAAGAAGAAGGTGCTCTCATCTTTAGACCAAAAGAATGGCTTTATTTGTTTCTACCGATTGTTTCCTTCCTAACCATCAGTCTCGGCTTGGATTTGTGCATCGTGATGGCCAAGATCGTTCTTGTGGTAGTAGTAATGTTTTACATCTTCAAAAGGCTGCTAAAAGCTCAAGGTCTCTCTCATTTTTGCTTTCTGTGCGAGGTTATATTCTTTGTCCTTTCTGATCTTTTGATGATTGATGTAAAACATAATGAAGAATCCAATTTTTTGATGTTTTGTTTTATTCTGTTCATCAAAGAATAAAAAAATTTCGGGATGCTTTATCCCACTCTTAACTGTGGTCATTCCTTTTTATGATGCATTTAAGCTGTTTTAGTGACTGAACAATTCACTTTCCTTCTTTAGCTTCTGATATTAAGCCACAAGTTGCTGTTCAGAGCAAGGGTCGATCATCCTTTTCACAGACAGCAGCTGTGCGGCATCTTACAGGCTCTGTCACCAGAACCCAGGGACTTCGTTTTGCTGTGGTATGTATTCCACAAACATCAATGCTTAACTATTTCATGCAATGTTTTTAACAGACGACAGACAACAGTCTGTTAGTCTTATATTATTTTCCTGTTTTTGTTTTTCAGTCAGGCAGAATGTGTCTAGGTTCTGTTGTGGTTTATTATTATTTTTTAAATATTTTGGGTGCTGGTTCTCTCGTGATTTATATTATATGCAGGTTTCTGCTCTATTTCTTTAAAAGTATTTTCTTATATGAAATTCTAATTTATATATATATATATATATTAATTTTTTTTAAATTTATATTAGCTTGCCCATTCCTACATTTTTGAAAATTAATTTATCCCGTACCCGTATTCGTACTAGGTATCGTACTGTACCCATTTCTATGCATTGTAGCTTCTTGGTGATTAATTAAGGTTTTGACAATAATGAAAATTTAAAGAAGTGGGAGAATTTTGGAGAGAATGGAAGTTGCAAATAGAATGGTGGTGCGGAGAGGATAAACAACAAAGGTGGGGATATGAAGTAGAGAAACAACATTGTAGTCAATCATGAAGAAGTTATCGCATTCTGCTTCAAGATTTTGCATTTCTTTTCTACTTAAAACCTGATTGTAATCATGAAGATTTTCTGATTGTTTTATGTTTCTTTGCTCACTTCTAAATGCTCTTCTTTTAGGTTGTTGCACGGTTTAATGAAATAATCACCAAGCCGCTCTTGGAAGGAGCTTTAGGTACTTTCAAGAATTATTCAGTTCAAGATGAGGACATTGATGTAAGTAAGCTGCCTTATAAGTTGTTGAATATTAATTTTTTGTAAACTACAATGTTGCTTTTGTATTTTGGCTAGTATTCTGTGGCTTTAATATTTTACTTCTTCTAATGTTTTTATAATGGGTCTACTCTTAGTATCCTTTCTGAAAAAACTTGTTGTTTTACTCACTTTTTCTGTTCTCGATGCATTTGATGTTATTGCCTTGTTCATATTCAGTTTTATTGAAATATGATGTAAAACAAATTATGCATGCTTTTCATAATAAGCTAAAACAAGAGGCCTGTCATTTTTCGCTGCTCTCCTACCCTTCATTTTCAGATTTTTGAAATTTGAAAACATTTATTATTTTCTATCTTAAAACAATCTTTTTATATTTATTTCATCTATGAGTATTGGCTTGGTGCAACTAGTCATAGAATTATGTCTCCATTGGTCATGGTTTTAAACAAAAATTTTATGTGCCATTGCTTTCACTCACAAAAAAAGAATGTTAAATAATATATGAATTGTGGCAGACTTGCCTTGTTCTGAATTTTAGCGTCATTTTCTTTTGCAGTGAATGCTGACAGAAACTTGTTGCTTTCCCCTCTCTCTTAGGTTGTGTGGGTTCCTGGTTGTTTTGAAATTGGTGCTGTTGCAGCAAGACTGGGAAAATCAGGCAAATATCACGCAATCTTATGCATAGGAGCTGTGGTATGATAAATCTTGACAAATAGATGAAAATCTTTTATAGAATTTTTATGATTAATAAGTAACCATTATCTTTATTTATGTTGACTTAATTTGTGCTTCTATTGTGACCAATGTTTGTTGTTAACAGATACGAGGAGATACAACCCACTATGATGCAGTTGCTAATTCAGCATCATCTGGAGTGCTTTCAGCTGGTCTAAACTCAGGTTATATTCTGTTAATGTCAATTGTAATGTGCAGATACAAATAAATCATACTTGAGTATTCAACTGCTGTCTGTTTTCTTGAAAATAAAATATGCATGCTAACATTGGTATGGAGACTTGTCTTTGTAGATCTAGAGTAACATCAGTTGATAGTGAGGTTATTTTATAATTTTTTGTTGTGGTTAAATCAGTAACACTTTACCTGCATAAGTTGACTCTAAGATTGATCTTCACTGAATAAAATACTGAAACTTTTTGTTTCCTCTAGCTAGTGACTATAAGAGAACATTTGATCTTTTTTCTTTTGTTTTTTGGTTGGGGACATTTAATGCTATTGTTAGCACTTGTTATTCCACTTCTTTTTCATTAATTGCCATTAACATGGAAAACTGAAGCATTTTGAAATGACTTTGCAGGTGTTCCATGCATATTTGGTGTCCTAACATGTGAAAATATGGATCAGGTAAGCTTCTGCCATATTATTTGCTGTGAAGGTTATGTAATTATATTCTTTGCTGATGAGAATTGTTATTACTTGGATTTTTATTTGTTCCTTTTTTTGCTATGTGCAGGCTCTAAATCGAGCTGGTGGCAAATCTGGGAATAAGGGTGCTGAGGCTGCGTTGACTGCTGTAAGTTGGTAACTTGATATTGTAAAGTTATTATGCAATAATCATCTCAGAATTTGTATAAAGCTTTCAAAAAATTCATATGCACTGACTGTTGTAGTTTTCTCATGTAGGATATTATCCACCTATCTTTGTATATATCACGAACAACATATTCCAAACCAAAAGTTTAAGTTGTTAGGTGAAGAATCATAAATGGCTTAATACAAATCCAACATGCTCCCTCGTACAAGAGCCTTTGAACTTGAAAATAATGTACACATCGACTTTACTTTGTGCTGAATTTAACTTTTATTTAAAAGAATGGAGTTGACAAAGATCAAATTCGTAACCATTTGATTATAGAGACTATGTCATGTCATGAACCAACCATCCCCAAAAGGTTTGGTTATCAAGTGAAGACTCATGAATTATTTAATTGCATCTCTAACCACATATCTCATCTTTCCTAATGAATTTCCTTTTCTATATAAAAAAAATTATATAAAGGTATCTCTTGAGTTGTGTAAAGTGTGTTTCGAGAAGGAGTAGGTGGACGGTACTTATGGAGTTTACATACTCTAATTGGACTTATTTAGAGCTTCATCCAGCTTTGAGATAAAATGGTTAACCATTTGGAAAAAATTTAGATTGTAACTAAGCTTACGTACTCAACCCCATATCTCAAAATCTCATTCTATTCTAACTTGAGGGGTTGTCATTATGCAACCACTTCTCAACAAGGACAGATGTCGGTGCACAAGTCCCCCTTAGTTGCGAGAGTAGATCTGTGTAGGTGAGGGTCGAGCCATAGGGATAAGGGTAAATTGTACGCAGGTTAACCTTTGTATTTTTGCAAATCTGTATAGGTGAGGGTCGACCCATAGGGATAAGGGTAAATTGTACGCAGGTTAACGTTTGTATTTTTGCATAGAGGCTATTTCTTATACTCAAACCCCTGACCTTTCAATCATAAGGAGTAATCTTACCGCTGCTCCAAGCTCGTACTCATGCAACCACTCCTGTCGTAGTTGTGAAATTGAATTGTGAATTGGAAGTCTGACAAAGAAAATCAAAATAAATTATTACACATTGGGACTTTTAACATTCTGAGTTATTCGTGAGATTTCTTACTACTTGAAGCAGGTATTAGTTGAGCTACAAGCTCATTGGCAGTTATCCTTTATGGTTGATTTCATGAAATGTCAATATTTGTGTTGAGATATATAAAACCATTAATATAGCCTCACCCAATAGCTTAAGCTTTTGGGTTGAATTGGTTCTTTACATAGTATCAGAGCCTCGTGTCCCGAGTTCGATCCTCATCGCCCCCCACTTTCTTTCAAGTGGAATTTCTTTCTTCGCACAAGTAGGTAGGCCTATGCATTGTCCACCTTTCAAGCCCAGTGAGCTTTCGTGTGAGGGGGCGTGTTGAGATATATAAAACCATTAATATAGCCTCACCCAATAACTTAAGCTTTTGGGTTGAATTGGTTCTTTACAATTTGTCTTGCAGCTTGTAACTTTTAACGGGTTAGTTGAACTAATGTTTCATAAACTTTTGTTTGTCGTACAGATTGAGATGGCATCTTTGTTCGAGCACCATCTGAAGTAGTCATAATGTTTGAACCAATCTTGAAGCGCTTTTGTTGGAACGGCGTGTTGATCGCTATTTTCACTTCCAGATGCTTATGTTGTAGTTCAAGGGATATATATTCTCTTATCTTCTGAATCTATCACGGGGTTAAATAAGCAGAAGATTACATTTTTTATTTTTTTTTTAAATTAAGTGTCTGTATTGGCACAGTTGTGGAATCAATTTTATGAAAGTGTCTTTTTGGCGAATAATAGCATTTTAGAATGACATCTCTCTCTCTCTCTTACCCAAGTAACAACACCATTATTAGCAGGGAGTTTTGTACCAGGAAGAACTTTAAATGTGTTACCAGGTTGAATGAGCAAGGAATCGATTTCCCTTTCTTAAATAGATATACCACCTAGAAAACAAAACATTTATCGTCAAGTACTAATTTGGTGTTGCAATGAAATGACCTTCATTGAGGAGTATTCAGCCAAAATTAAAGATAATCAACACGAAAGCTGATTCTTTCACCTCTTGGATCTCCTTCCTTTTTTTTCTCTCTAAACTCCTAAACAAAATCTTAGGGGACGTTTGGTTCAAGTGAAAAGAAAATTTATTAGTGAAATGACCAGGGATCTGCAGAGAAAGTAAGTTAGGTAAGAAAGTTTAAAAAAGTTATTTGGTTGAGCAAAATATTACCGGATAAATTGAGTGAAAATTCTTGAATTCATGTTTGGTTGAAGATAAAATATTGATGAGAAACCAGGATGAAATTACAAAATGCACCCTTTACAATATTATATTCTATACGATATAATGATGCTTAATTCAGAAGTCCGCAAGGTTTGGTGTACGCATTTATTACCAGATGAGATAAACATAAGACAAGAGATATACAGGATATCAACTAAACATGATATACCACATCTTCCAAAATGGTGGAGATGGGTCACTTGTCCGATGTGGTTGGTTGGGTTTTGGAAGCTTGGAATAAAAAAAAATATGAAAAGGGGAAGGGGCTGTGGGTGGCAGGAGGAGGGATGGTGGTGGAGATGGCTGAACGGTTGTGGGCTGCGGTTGGAGAATGGGTCGGGGAAGGAGATGTGGTGGATGTAAGAGAGGTGGGTGGCGGTGAGGGGGGAAGGGGCTGTGGGTGGCAGGAGGAGGGACGGTGGTGGAGATGGCTGAACGGTTGTGGGCTGCAGTTGGAGAATGGGTCGGGGAAGGAGATGTGTGTTAAGGGAGAAACCCTTAAAAGGAGAAAGGAAAGGAAGATGAAGAGGAAAAGAATTATGATATTATTCAAGATGATTCTGAAGAGTATCTCTTTACATGTATTTATACAATTCAACATTAACCAACTAATGTAACTACAAATGCTATCTGTCCATACACGTGTAAGCCATTATTATTCACATGCTTCCTAAGCTAACGCGTTTCAACAACTAATACGTGTCTAAACTACTAACCACTAAGCCACATAATCAGCTAGAAGAACTGAATCCCTTCTCTCACGGTTTGATCTCCTTCGACTTGTAACAATGTGGCGGATGTGAGAGAGGTGGGTGGCGGTGAGGGGTCTTCGATCAAGAAGGGGTTGTGGTGTGGTGGTCTTTACCGCCAAGGTTGAGGGTATTTTTGTCTGCTTTGGCTTGCCCTTCTTGCCATTTAGCCGGCTAACCACAAAATACCACCTTCAAGTTGACTGTTTGAACAGTGACTTTTGCTTGCTTCCTACGACCAAATCTCAAATGCTATGCAAATAGAACAACTGGGAAAAAATTTCAAAACTGTCTACCAAACATGGACGTCTTACTTTGCCAATTTGATTTGCACAGGCAACTATTTGAAAATCCCGAACCAAAAACCACCTTAAGGAAACAGAGCACATGAAATTCAAGTGACACGCACCTTTCTCTTTGACAACCAACAAAGCTGTATCGGGAGCAAGTTACTAGCTTCTCTCAACGGCATCAGATGTCTTTCCCCTGGCAAGGCATTCCACATACTTGCCAACAATACGAATGTTATAAGCATAGCAATTGTTTCAAAGTATGTTGGAAACCAAAATCCAGTAAGAGCACCATACAAGAGCATAAACAGAATAAATATAAGAGGCCGTAGTTCCCAAGGCCACAGAGGACATCAATATTTGTTGAACGGTTGAACCATTTCTAAGAGCTCTGCTAGCTGCTATGTAGAAGCGCTTCCCAACCCAACCACAAATTGGATGAGACTCACCAATGCCAACTTCAGCCAATCACCCATGAGGAAAGGCTCACATCTCCAAAGTAATGAGTATACCAATGGTATATGGAGACAAACTACCCCATGAACAAGAGAAGAATACGACACAAATGAAAGTAAAACCCAATTTAACCCAAAACTTTAACTTGTTAGATGAAATTCATGTCAATGATTTTATATTATATTTTTCTAACACTCTCGTACAAAAGCTCATTGAGTTTGAAGAATGGACAATTACGAGCCTATTTACCTATACATGTAAAACATGTCAATTTAATCAAAAAAACTTAAATAATTAGGTGAAGGTCTATATTATATATCTCTAACAATGCATCAAACAAAAATCAATGCAAAAGATTAAACAAGAACCTAAACAAAATAAGGACTCCCCCATGCATCCTCTACGGATACCCTTTCTTTCTGAAACACATTGCATTATTGCCAGCATTTCTGTGTGATGCGTTTTGGAAAGATATCTGTTTTTTCATATAATGAGTACTTGATAAAATCATCTATCGCACAAGGATTTTAACAGCATATCCATAAAGATAGCAATAAGTTGACAAAATAAAGTAAAATGAAACAATCCACCAAAAAAAAAAAAAAAAAGTAAAATGAAACCAAAAAATGTATATAGAAATATCTCTATATGAGAAATGATACTAAAGAGATACTCACACTAAGAAACATAATGGAGGTCTCTGAAATATGTTGAGAAGCCATTCTGGCATACGGGTTTCAAACATTAACGTCAAAGGCTGTTGAGTAGGGGTGTAAATGGGCTGGGCTGGGCTGGGCTTTGGCCATCCTGGCCCAAGCCTACGTCAAAAAAAGTTCAGCCTATTTGGCCTACTGGCCTATTAAAGGCTTTATTTGTAGGCCAAGCCCGGCCCATTTTCAAAAATAAGAAAGCCTGACATGGCCTACAGGCCTTGTAGGCCTCCCACTATATATACTGAGCAAAAAAATAATTGTATAGGCCAAAGAAAGTTTCATTCATGCATGCACTAGTACTTCTTATAAGAAAAAATTGACAAACAAGAAAGAGTCAACATAATACCTCAGCTCTAGAATGTATATCATAGAGGAATAGAGTCAAAGAAATGGGAAAAATAAGAAAAATACAATTACTGGATGCTGAAATAAAGTCTACAAGAGAATGTCATTCATCTAAAAATCTTTAAACCACCATCAAGACAAGGGAAAGAAGAGTATTATTGAAAGATCTTCATCAGTAACATCATAATCCAGCAAGGTACCCATTGCTCCATGGTATTAAGCTGCAACAGCAAGTAAAATTTGGAGACATTAGACAAGTTTTTCTTTCCTAAAATAAAATAGCACAAAAAGTAAGAGATATTGATATTTGGAACTTTGTGTCTTTGCACATAAAATAAATATTATTTTATTATTTTATTTTAATAAATTAAATAGGCCAGCCTACAAGGCTGTAGGCCGGGCTTGACAAAATTGGCCTATGGCCTATTTATTAAAAACGCTTTTTTATAAGTCTAAGCCTACTCTACTTTTCTGAAAGGCCGGGCCTGGACTGGGCTCAATGTAGGCCGGGCCGTAGGCTGGGCTGGGCCAGCCTGACCCATTTACACCCCTACTGTTGAGCAATTGTGATATATATACGGGAAATAATTATGTTGCATGAGATTATTATCTTATACGACAGAGATAAAGGAATAAATATATTATTTAAAGAAAAAAAAGTGGATCTCACTATCTTATTTCTATTATATAAGATAATTATCTTATGCAACATACGATAAATAGATTCATATATATAATAAAGTTCATTAGTTTCTACTATTTATTGTTTAATTGCTCGTGTTTAATAAAAATAAAATAAATAACTTATTCCAAAATTTTATAATTACGTAAAGTTATTAAATTCATACTAATATGATAGAATTTGCATACTACTTTTTAAAATTATTTCGCTTATTAAAATCTTCACTAACATCTAATGACTTGCGAATATATCATATCAACTCACATTCGTGTTAGTCTCCACCTATGAAGCACCGACACTTCAAGAATCCTGACGTGTTGTGTCCGACACTTTTCGACACTCACCGACATTTCGACACTCCAATACTCGTTGCAAAGACTCAAAAAGATTCAAACGTTATGTTGCGTTGCATTTTGAGTTCCAACTATTAGATTCGATAGATTAGAATTACAATTTTATTGAGTTTAATATAAATATTTGGAATATATTATGTGTTTTTGCAAAATTGATGGGTGTTATAAGTTTAATTTTATTTTTTTGTTAAATTATTGAATACTAAATATAATATAATATCAAAACGTGTCCTAACGTGTCGAAATTTAACAGTTTTTAGAATTAACGTATCGGAGTGTCGTGTCGTATTCCGCGTCCTGCGTCGGTGTCGATGCAACATAGGTCTCCACACCTAGTCTATACTAATACTTAATTTTGTTAAATATAATGTTCCAATAATATGTTATCCGAAGAAAAAAAATTAAAAACAAACAATGAAAATGGTTCCAAAGACAATAAATTTACATCAATAAATAGAAATATATTTCTTTAAAAAAATATATTTGTTTTCAAATAAAGATACGAGGTATGAAAGTAAAAAAAAAAATACGAGTGGTTTACAAAACTAAAGACTCCAACAAATTAAGCCCATATTTTATTATTATAAGGATGGGCCTAGGCCCAATTCAAACAAAAGCATTTGATCTTGCGTATATAAATCAATCAGAATTAGGGTTTCTTAGTTACCTATCAGGTGCAGAACGAACCCTAGAAGCTTAGAGAAGGAGAAAGAGGAGGAAAATGGTGAAGTTTTTGAAAACGAACAAGGCGGTGATCGTGCTGCAAGGGCGGTACGCAGGGCGGAAGGCGGTGATCGTGAGATCGTTCGACGAGGGGACACGTGAGAGGCCATACGGTCACTGTTTGGTTGCGGGGATAAAGAAATACCCGAGCAAGGTTATCAGGAAGGACTCGGCGAAGAAGACGGCGAAGAAGTCGAGGGTGAAGGCTTTCGTGAAGCTCATGAACTATCAGCACATCATGCCAACTCGTTACACCCTCGACGTCGATCTCAAAGACGCTGTCACACCCGATGTACTTCAATCTAAGGATAAGAAGGTCACTGCTCTCAAGGAGACCAAGAAGCGTTTGGAGGAGAGGTTCAAGACCGGGAAGAACAGATGGTTCTTCACCAAGCTCAGATTTTGATTCTCTCTATTCTTGTTTTGAGTATCAGATTTTCTTTTATTATTAAAAGACTAAGGGTTTTTTTTTTATTGCTACTTTTTTTTTTTTTGCAATTTTGTTTGCAATGCGTTATGTTGGGCTTTTATTTTAATATATGAGGTTTTTTAATACATGAGGAAAATGAATGCGATTGTTTGTTTTTGTTTGTTTGTGGATTAGATGCAAATTTTGACATTGAGGGTAACCCTTTCCTATTAATAGGATTTTCAACTCTAATTGATGTTCAACTAGAAATAAGGCTTTGTAATGCAAATTGCTTGTCACAACATCAATCACGGCAAAACGCTATTTTTAATTATGATACATACATGCCTGCGTAAGAAGAATTTTGAGTTGATGTAAATGGTGTACAATGTCTTTAAGAACACACTCATTTTGCAAAGTAAACACTTGATCAACTAGGCTTACACTTCAAGCACAAATGAGTTAAGTTAATGTAGGGTCTATATCCTATAAGAGGGAAGGAAGGACAAGGAAGTATAAAATTCAGTTGAAACAGTATTAGTTTCCTGCCTCTTTTGGCCTCTTTATTGGAGGTATTGGAATCCCTCTTGGATAGGAATTCAATCAGTGAGGATTCCTAATACTTCCCACAACTGTTACACCGCAGTCCCCTCCACAAACAAATAAACATATGTCCATTCATATGAGAAGATTTCTTCATGGATTCAAACGCTGTAATTGTAGAATGGAACTGAAGTTACAACCAGTAGGTGGTCATAAAGGTAAATGCTAGAAATGGCACCCTTCATGATGAATTCTCTTCTATAATCCCATAATTATTATATACGCTTCTTGTGATCACTGACAATAGGTCACATCTCGCAAGCAAAACCTTTTCGGTAATCCTGCATATTTCGAATGAAAGTTGCGCATAACTTAAATAAGTTGATAATCCTTGATAAGGTGTCCGAAGTTGTATGGTTAAAATAGAATAATCCTAAAGTTCAATTCATATGTTAAATAAATATAAAACTGAATTCTGGTTCATAACACATGCACTTAATATTTGTCATCAACTCTTTTAACATAGTGTAGATTTTATCCTTTTGTGGATGCTGTTGATCTCCAGCATAAAACTTATGAACCTCCCCTTTCACAGAAATCCAACTATATCCTGGTTCCTTTCTAATGCCTCGTTTTTTCATCACATCTCTCAAACTAACCGCATCTTCATATAGTCCTGATTCTATGTAAGTGTTGGACAAAAGAACATAAGTAGAAGGATATTCTGGTTGGGTGGATAGAATCTTTTGAGCAGCAGTTTCTCCCAACTCGGCATTTCCATGAATCCTACATGCTCCTAACAAGGTCTGCCAAACCATTTCATTTGGCTCGATTGGCATCCTGCTTATAAATTCCACTGCTTCATCCAATTGGCCAACACGACCTAAGAGATCAACAACACAAGCATAATGTTCCATTTCTGGTACCACACCATAGGTGTCCTCCATTTGATAGAAAATTTCCAGGCCATCCTCTACCATTCCTCCATGGCTACAGGCAAAAAGGATACATAATAATGTAACAGCATTGACCTTTACAACCGACTGTTCCATCTTTCTGAAGAGTTGAAGGGCATCTTCAACAAGACCATGTTGAGCATAAGTGGATATTATGGCAGTCCAAGTAACATTGTCTGGGTTAGATATCCTTTCGAAAATTTTCTTTGCTTCCATCACATTGCCACATTTGGCAAACATGTCAATCAGAGAACTTTCTATGCATGTGTCAGTATCCAAGCTGGCCTTGCATATCAGACCATGAATTTGCTGGCCATATTCTAGTAAACAAAGACCACCGCATGCTGTAATAACACTAGAAAGGGTAAAATGATTGGGTTCAAAGCCTTCATTGCGCATCTTTGAGAAGATGGCCAAGGCTTTCCCCCACTCAGAATATTGACAATATGCAGTCACCATGGTTGTCCAAGATACTATATCTTTCTCTTCCATTCTATTAAATACCTTCTCTCCAGCTTCAAGTGAGTCACATTTGGTATATGCATCAGCAAGGGCATTCGATGCACTAATATTCATCGCATCGAATCCACATTTCAAAGCCATCCCATGAGTCTCCTTTAAGGATGTCAGACACTTCAAAGCAGCAACTGAGTTGAACACACAACAGAATGTGTAAAAATCTGGTTTTATATCATTTTGGCACATTGTTGTGAACAATTTCAAAGCTTCTAATTGAGAACCAGCTTGTGAATAACCTGTTATCATTGCATTCCAAGGTGTGTTAACCAGACAACTTGTGAACTTGGAGTCGAAAAGAACCCGTGCATCAGACAAAGATCCACACTTGGAGTACATATCGATAAGAGCCGTTCCAACCAAAGTATTGCAGTCCAATCCACAATTAGAAGCATACCTGTGAACTTCATGACACTTTTTAATGTCACCAAACTGCCCAACTGCTTTGGAAACACTTATAAAGGTTAAATTATTAGGTGTAACTCCTTCTTCAATCATGTTGATAAAACAATTGAATGCTTGTAGGTGTAGACCATTAGATGTAAATCCTGAAATCATTGCATTCCAAGAGACATTGTTAAGCTCTGTCATGGTGTTGAACACCTTAACCGAACTCTCACTCTTCCCTAACTTTGCATACATGTTAAGAAGAGATGTACCAACAACAGCATGTGTCAGAAAACCTCCGACAACAACTTGGGCATGCACCATCTCACCCAACTCAACCGAATCTAATCCAACACATAACTGCAAAACAGCAGAGAGGGCAAAGCCATCAGGCAACACACCATGGCCCAACATCATGCAAAACAGCTCCACCCCATCATGGTAGTAGCCATGTTCATTCGACGCAACAATCATGACAGTCCAAGAAAACACATTTCTTTGGGACATACCATCAAACACCTTACGAGCAGCAACAAGATCCATACATTTGGAGTAAACATGAGCTGCATGATTCAAAAAAACCAACAAGTCACGGCCACCAAAACCCAATTTTAGAACATGCCCATGAATGCAATTCGCCTGTTTAAGAGACCCATTTTCCTCACAGGCCTTCAAGAGATCAATGAGTGGTCGAATACGGTGGTGTTCATGAGTTTCAGCAGCTGCAACGGGCTTTGTTGATCTGCTTCCGCGGTGGTCCTTTGAAAGCGTTGGAGCCTGCGGCACAAGAAGAATAGGTATAGGCTGGTGTGAATAGGCATTGTTTGTGGAAACACGAGAGAGACGAAAAGGATGGTGCCCGCACTGTGCAACGGAGAAGCTCATGCTGCAAGTGGTGGTCTCTTCATTCCTTTCACTAGTCCCAGAATTTCTCTGTTTCTATGATCTTATCTTCACTAGTGCTGCTGATAAAAAAATAAAAATAAATTATTATTATTATTTAAATAAAGGGGAAGGATATTGTGACAACTAAGTTGTGTTACTACCAAGTGACTACCAATCAATCTCACCATTAGATCGATTATGTTGATCTAACGGTTATATTTATTTCCATCTTTGTATGGTCATGATTTCTCAAATTTAATACTTTATATTTATTTTCACTTTTGTATGGTTATGATTTCCTATATTTAATGCTTTCACTTTAAATATGGGGAATCATGACCATACAAAGATGGAAATAAATATAACCATTGGATCAACATAATCGATCTAACGGTGAGATTGATTGGTAGTCACTTAGTAGTAACATAACTTGGTTGTCACAATATCCTTCCCCATAAATAAAAAATTAGGAAAACATAATATCTTGGAACCAATGTTGTCAAACTCGAGTTTTTACGTAGAAACGGAAATGGATGTTAGAAACGTAAAACGTAGAAACGACACGAAACTTAAAGTTTCTACTTTCTACCACTTAAGGTCAAGATAGATACAAAATTATATATATGCATGTAAAAAAATATCACATAATGAACATGTGTGTTGAGCCACTTATCTATCTAAAAAAGAAAATTATTTTTCATAACCAAGTATTAAAATTAGAAACAGTGATAATCAACAAGTAATGAATAACCAGTCTGCTCTAACTACTTTATACCAATGTTATTAAAACCGGTCTGGTTAATGACCCGGTCGAGATCACTAGGCCACTGGTTCAACCAGTAGGTCATTGGTTCAACCACATGACCCGTTGATTATATATAAATCTATAATTTATATTAAAAAAATTATAAATATACTCAAATAGCTAAAAAAAATAATATAAATTATAAATATTTTAATATAAAAAATAATAAATTATACATTATTGTCTAATAAATGATCAAACAAACACATAATGCTTGTTATATTGGTATTTCAGGTTCGATAAATGATATCTTTAACTATCAAAACAAAATTTCATGCATAGTGCATAACTGAGATAATATTAGTATTGTAGGTAGATAAGTTATGTAAGTTAATAAGTAACAGATCACTCAAATATGTCAATTATGATTTTTTTTATGGATTTTTTTTTTTAAATATTTTTTTTTTAACCCCGGCCGGGTCACCGATTTTTCACCAAAAATTGGCTGGGTCACACCGGATCGTACCGGGTCTGATACTTGACCGATCCAATGTGATAACCGGACTAGTCAGATGATCGGTTCACCGGGTTCCGGGTCAACCCGGCCGGTCCGGTTTTCACAACAATGCTTTATACACTCTGAAGATTTTGTATCATCGCTCATCAGGATATACTTCCACCTCTTTCAATGCACACAATGATCCAAAAACACAAAACGATTCTCATAGCATAACTTATAATAGAATTGCAGTTTTATAAGACATAATTATAAAAAACATATATCCAAACAAAAAGATATTAAGATACTGTGATTTGGGGAAAACAAAAATTAGGTTTTTTTTTAAAAAAAAAATTGCAAATCTTTTTTTAATTAAATTTTTAGTTTTAAGTAAAAACGGTAAAAGTGTACGTTTTTACCGTTTTTATGTGGTGTCTCTATTAATTTTAAGCAATGACAGTTTTTACTTAAGTTTTAACACGTACCACTCTAGTAAAAACGTAAAAACGTAAGCTTTTACGTTTTTACACTAGTTTTTGACAACAATGCTTGGAACTAATTTATGGCTTTATAATAATCAGTCATGTTCAAAATAGATATGATTGGTCGCGTCCAAATAAGGCGCATTAGAGTGTTTGGTTGCGCCGCGCGCGACTCATCCGATGATGATCACGTGGTAGTCAAAAGTCAATAATTTTATCTAAAATTTCGGATTGCCATAACTTTTAATTCGAGTCTCAAAATTAGGGTTTTTTTATTACACATAACTTTTTTGAGATCTATACAATAACATCTCATTGAAGGGGATTAGGTAAAAAAAATTCAATTTTTTTTTTCGAATTTGCAACAATGGTGCCACTACAAAAGCATTTTATCTCCCAATTTTTTTTCAAAAAAAGGACAACATATATTTATTTGCTGGGAACGTTTCTAACCATCACAATGGCTTCCTCACCATTCGCACGCATAGGCAACAAATGACAACAACAATAATGTTTCTTCTTACGGAAAGTCCTAAATTACTGTTCTTGTTGCTGGAAAAACCGTTGGTTCAGAGACTAACAATGGCAAAAAAGGAGTGTTAAATTGTTGGCTCGAGTTAATGGAAGTTGGTGGAACCATTGTAACGGGGTAACAGACACAAATGATGAAGTTCGTGTGAAAGAGAAGAAGAGACGAGGAAGTAATACTATTGACCACTAGGCCAAGAAATCGATGACACGTGCTGGCTGCTGCTCATCATGTTTGTTCGGGGGCTTCTGGGTTTAAACACTCTCGTGGTTATGGCACCATTATTGCAAATTCAAAATATATTTGGGGAGAACTTCAACTTAAATAACATCTTTCACATTCACAAAGATAAAATGTGTCAAATGGAGCATAAGGAAGCATTTTTGGGGAAAATTTTTGAACAGGTATATCCATATATGCCAACGCGTAGCTCTCAAAAAGTTACGTTGAATAAAAAAAAGCACCTCATGCAAACATTCAAGTTAAAAGTTATAGCCTTCCGAAATTTTACGATAAAATATTCCAAATTCGAAAAAAAATTGGATTTTTTTTATCAATTCCCCTTCAAAGAGATGTCATTGCGTAGATCTCGAGAAGTTATGAGAAATAAAAAATACCTGATTCGAACACCTAGTCAAAAGTTATGACATTGCGAAATTTTTCAGTCAAACTATTGACTTTTTTGTGTCACGTGTCAACACCGGATGAGTCACATCCAAATTGGACGCGACTCGGCACCATAATGAGCCTTATTTAGGCGTGATCGATCGCCCCCCATTTTGGCACAAGTGTTTACTATAAATCCATAAATTGGTTCCAAAATGCTACATTTTTGTAATTTCTTATTTAAATAATAATATTTAAATGTTTTCAATTTTTTATAAAATAAATGGTATAAATTTTCCAAACTTGTAGCTTTCAAGTTTTTTTAGATAAAAAAATTCCATAAGACATCCTAAATCCAATATCTTTGACCAAAAAGCAAAATTTTCATTTGTTAAACCATTTTTGTTCTTTTATAGAGTTGCTTTCTTAAACTCTCTCTCTCTTTTTCACATTACATTTTTAAAGTTAATTTTATATTTACATTAATTATAATGTCATTGTATACAAGCGACAAGAGTGTTTCTTACATTATGGAAAACTTGAGTTCATGTTGTGTGAAATAAAGAAACTTCAATGCTTGAAAGAGGTGAATTGAGTATTTTGAAAACTTATTAAAAAAAAAATATTTCAGAAATGGTTGTAGGTATTTGAAGGGAATAAGAGCAAAAGAATGCTCAAGCATTCTTCTGAGATGTTATGGACAAACTAAGTTTAGAAAGGTATGATATAAAGAAAAAAGTAAAATGTATTCAACAAAAAAAAAAATATTAAAAAAAATAAATAAAAAAAATCCCGAGATGTTCACGTTGATGACTTGGACAAACTGATATCTTGTACTTCACAAAAACCACACTAGGTCGATCTGGAATGAACAAACCATGACCTCAAGTGGTCACTTTTGAAGAATAATGCGCAAATAACATGAAATAAAGAACGTAAACAAAGACTCCAACAAACACAAAGTAGAACAGTGATTGATATGTTTTAAAAATTTTAAACTTCATAATATTCTATCCACATAAATAAGCATTGCTTATTACAAATATCTCATTTCCTACACAAGTATGCGAATTCTCCCCTCTCATGGAAATTTAAAAATACAATCAAATTTCAACTATAAATACAATTCAATATTAAACGAAGGCATTGAAACCAGACTATTGGACAGGAGTGACCCCTAAAGAATCTCTAAGCAGTTGCAGTTTCATTATCACTTTGTACTTAATCGGGCATCAGTCATTCCCACCTCAAAATCTAAGTTAGTCCTTCCTGAAACAGAACACTTCATTAGCCATAATTGCACATGTAACACTTAAACTTTATGCTAACCAAAGAATCCAGTGAAGAAGAAGAAGCATCTCAATTAATTCAACCAGAATATGTCTTTCCAAAAAAAGAGGGTAAACCTACCCAGGAATAACTATTGGTCGATGTGGGTGGAAATAAGAGTAGAAGTTCTAGGTTAGCAGGTTACTCAATAATAAAGCAAAATGCAATAATTCACAATACAAAGCAAGAATGTTTTACATATGCATTTATGTAAATATGCATATTTGAATATGTATGTGTGACCTGTCCATATCTACAATTGTAATTGGAAAACAAATCCATGCAACAATATATAACTGATTAGTAATCACATCTAGAACAGAACAAAATATGAACGAATTGAAATGCCAGCAATGTAAAACAAAATGGAAGAAGGGAAATAACAGCCTCACAGGGCATACATCATATTAAAAGGACGAAAGAACCAGAGAGAAAGTAAAAGATAAGAGAGAAAAAGTGAAAGGCGAAAGCCAATTTACTTTGATTATGAAAAGACTCACTGTTCAGAAGCTCAGAACAGTGCCTATATAGTACAATAGGGCCTAACTAAACTCTTAACAGTTCTCTAACCATCGTAAGAACATAACAGCTGTCACAAAAGAAATACAACAGAAATACAGTGCACCTATATTACTCTAGGTGCTACAGAAGTAAACTACACAAGCTATACTAATAATGTTCATGTTATTAAATATTAACAAAGCATAACAGAAGTTAAACCCTGAAGGCTTACTTGAAGAGTTTCTCTGTAATATAGTTCAATCGAGCAATATCAGCACCTACAAGTTCATCAGCCTTTTTCCCATTCTGAAAGAAATGGAGTGTTGGCTGCAGCAAGATAAAATATTATGTTATCTCCACTTCAGAAGGAAATATATCGTGGTGAAGAAGCATCTATATTAAGCCATATAAGGACAGCAGGTCCAGGTTTGCAAGGACAAGCATTATAAAGCAAATTTTAGTATGTCCAATTAATTAAAAAAATGAGAAATGGCATGTGTCAATTTAGTTACATATGAACAATTGAACACATCAGGTTAAACAAGTGCATTTCATTAGTCATAATCATCAGTCATTCACCATGAAAGTTCCCAAGCAAGTCAGGAGATAAAATCTAAAGTTCAAGTCATGAATTTCACTTTACCAAAAGCCTTGCAGAAATTTCTGTTTTGAAATTGTCAAGAATCCTTATTGAGTCCTTAATTACAAATCGATATTAAAATCAAAGCTAGAACATAAATGTTCAATAACACATAAATCTGTGCAAGTGCAAACTAATAAGACATAGCAAAGTCAATTGACAATGAAAGCATAGCTTACCTAATGAAAACAGGCTAAAGAACAATTGTCCAATAACACATATCTATGACTCAAATTCTATCTAATATTAAGTTTATTTTCCCTGTTTCACTAATAAAGTAATGATCCATTAGAGGAGCTACAGGAAGGCAACAGAAAGTCTAATATAGTTGAAATAATGGAAGCAATACCAGAAAGAATGCAGCAAAAAAGAGATATGCATTAATAAAAAGGATGGTTGAATTAGAGTAAAATTTCCCATTGCACAGCCAGATTCATGTATACAACCAGATATAGAAGTTTTTATTTCCACAAACAAAATCGGAACACATAAATTTCTAACAAAAAGATTAAATAAAGTACCACAGATGTAATCTGCAACTTGCCCAATGTGCCTTGAAGTGCTTCCTGGGATACATGGGGACAAAAGGTAACAATTTTAGCCACCCTGATGCATATGAAAAGTTTCAAGCCATCCCAAAACATACTTCTAAAATAGAGGAGACTAATGGAAAACCAAAAACAAAAGTAAGAAACCACAGGATCAAAAAAGGAAATAGTCTGATGGTTGCCACACATGTAAGTGAAAGGCAGCAGTATTTGACAACCAGCAAAAGTAGCAAGGGAAGAAAGGAGAGAAGCAAGCTAAATTTTTAATTTACATGCTAATTTTTCAAAATTGATCATATAATGTCCTTGTGGCTAGCATTTAAGTATTTTATATGTTATTATTAAATATCAATGTTATTAAACATGTCTTGTACTTTTGCCTTTTAATATAATAAAAAATAAAAAATAATGTCTTATTATGTCATACATTTATAGTATTCAAAAAGAGGATTATATTGACAAACTTTTTTTTTTTACAAACTTACAAACTACACTATGTCTGACCGGTCAGACATAGTGTAGTTTGTAAGAGTTTGTAACAAAAAGTTTGTAAATATAACCTTCCCCATTCAAAAGATAATTAGACATATTTAAAACATAAAATTTAAGCTATTTTCAATTATGAGTTGCAAACCTTATTGACAATCCAATTAACAGTTAAAAAATGGCCTTTTAAATTCCAATACATAAATCATAATTCGGTTCAAGATTCAAAATTATACATTACACCATTAAATGTATTCCACACCTGATCAATGTCAATCTTATATGTTGTAACATGAGGGTACTTCTTACTGAGCTCCCCAACTATAGGAGAAATAAACCTGCCTACACAGAAATATACAATAGGAAAACCAGGAAAAAATTTCTCTAGAATATAGAGAACACAAAATATATGAACAATGAAGCATGAACAGAACAACAACTCTTAACAGATTGTCAATGGCTATGTCATATCATCCTTACACAAGCATAATGGCAGTTTCAACAAATGACTAAACTTTCAACCAGAACAGGGGCAGAAATTTGTCTTGTCAATTTGAAGTTTTCAATCAAGCTCTTACAAATATTTTTCAACATCCATGAGGTGTTTGGCGAAACTACTATTGGTAGACAAACCTAATATCCTAATTCAGATATAGGTCAGAATTAATTGAACCAGTTCTTGTTATATCACAAAAAAAGTGGTTCTTTCGAGTTTAGCAATTAGCCGAAGATCCCTTGTGAAAAAGACAAAAAGAGATAACTGCAGAGATGGCTTCTGAAGAATATTTGAAAGATAAAAGACAAACATGCCACGCTCAAAGCGATTTAAATAGGAAATTGCGAAGAAATGCATCAGTTTTAACTTTAATACATGAATTTATTTTTAGTTGTCCTCCTGATTTTTTTTACACTTTGTTACAGAGTTTCTCTCTAGATATGACAGCCCTATTTGACTAAAATCTAAACTCAGAAATGCTTTTTTATGACATGTTTAATGATTGAAATTTGTAAGTATTATCTGGTACATAGTTTCAACCTCCTCGATGATTGATCTTTATACAACTATAATTTTATTCACATATTTTCATAAATTGGTTCATAATATGATTCTATATATTACTATTTGCGAAAATGATACTTAACCCAAGTATGGTATGGGATTTGTTCACTTTTCCCACCTGTGCGTTAAAAAGTGTCATTTAGCCTGCCCAAGATTCCACTTTATACCTTACTATGCATATATACCTAACACCTTATGATTTGGAGGTGCACATTTTACCAGCCTGTTTGGGATTTGTTCACTAAACCCCCTTGAGGTTTGCTTTCATACAGGAGACTTAAGGCAAAAACTACCTTGCATATGATTTTTACATGCTTATTGGATTAATGATGACACGGACAGAGTTTAAGTGCGTGAAGTGATGCATTCTGGAACATGGGCAGATAAAGTGTACCCAAACCATACATTGGTGAAGTGCAAATTATTGTTCAGTATCATTCATCAAGTATTCATTTTAATTTAAAAGTTTATGGTCATCTTCTCGTTGACCTTTTGCAATGGTCATGTACATGGATAACCAAAACAGCACAAAGAGTACAATTAAGTGCAAAGATCTTAGTCAACAAAACAAAAAAGGCATAGGAACTTACAAGGTCCACACCAAACTGCAGTGAAATAGAAGATCGCGTGCAACGAGTTATCTATTTAACAGAATTTCATCAGAAAGAAGAAATCAGCTCTAGATTGCTCCATAATTAAAAAGGGTAACATTTATTCACATAAAAAAATAACTGAACGAAAGAATAACAAAGTGTATTTACAATAACAAGTGAAGGGAACAAACCTCCAACTGCTTAAATCACCAAAAAACAAAATCTTACATAGAAAAGAAACAAAACAAGTAAAAAACACATACCTTGAACTTTGCTAAGGATATTATTGAACTCTTCCTCTGAATTAACAAGGATAACGTCGGAAGCAGCTGAAAATATGTTTAACATTGACTTGTTACAATGAAGTATAATAAAGTTTAAACAATTAAGAAAAAAATGTACTAAGAATTATAGTAGAAAGCAAAAACAAGAATAATTCATAGATGGTTAATGAAGACTTGAGTAATCTAGAAAAAAATTATAGATAAGTGCAGCATGTAAATTCACGCAAATGTGAAATGAAAATTAAATTAACATAAAATCAAATTGAAAATTGAGAATGAAAGAGAGAGGAGAGGGACCTGAGGCGGAGCAAAAGGAAAGGGAATTGTGGAAGGGTGAGAGGAGAGAGAGCTGAGAAGAAGCAATGGCGGTGGCGAAGAGAGAGGATGAGATTGGTGTTACTGTTGACGAGACTGAACGAATGTGATGGTTATGGTTGCGGGTGAAGATTGGGCGAACACTGTTCTTTATTGCATTGCGAAAGGCGAAGGATCGAACGATCAAGCTTCTGGCCATTTCTCTCTCTCTCTCTGATTCTCTCACGTTTTCTTTGCTCTGCTCTGCTCTGTTCTGTTTTAGGGTTTAGGGTTTATATTTTTCATCTCACTTCATTCTGTTACAAATCATTCGTTCTTTTTTTCACAAAAACTTTCCAACATTTGGTGTTTCATGAAGAAGAAATGTTTTTTTTTACTCATTTCCAAGGTGGAAAAGTGAGTCTTCAAAAATATTATTAAAAAGTTATTTAGTAAGTCAAAATATTATCATAATTTTTATCAAAATTTTGTATTGAATTTTCCATTTTTCCTAGAAATTGAGTGGTATTTATTTTGGTTTATATTTTACACACAAAATAAAATTATGAGAAAATCATATTTCTCGAAAAAAAATTCAAAAATCTTCTATCAAATATAAAAAAAATCGATTGTCACACTCACTTTTCTGCATATTTGAAAATAAATTTTTTATCAAATGAATATGTTTGATTTCTAATCTCAATTTTTAGTTTCTAAAATAGGAAAAAATTATACTTACTACCTATTTTTCTTACCATCTCTTAATACACTTGTCAAAAAGGGCCATACCCTTAGGGCTAGCCCATTTAGCCCTATAAAAAGCCCATTAATTTTTCAGCCCTTTGTGTGGAGGGCCATCTTAGCCCTAACCCATAAGGCCCTTCCATTTATTGGGTTAGGTTAGGGCTGTCCCATGGAACAAAAGAATTCAACTCATTTTCTGATTGGGGTTAGGTTAGGTTTGAAAGTGGTTGCTGAAACACTTTATAAAATAAAAGAAAGTGTTAAGTATGTGAGAGGATCAGATGGGAGGATAATTAAGTTTCAAGATTGTGTGGAACAAGCAGGCATAGGTACAAGCATTGATTTGAGATTAGATGTGTCAACTAGGTGGAATTATACATATTGGATGCTAGAAAGTGCACTTAAGTATGAAAAGGCATTTGATATTCTCCAAGTGATAGATAGGAATTACAAATATTGTCCGTCATGTGAAGAATGGAAAAAAGGAGATAAAATATATGAATTTCTAGAACCCTTTTACGAGACTACAAACATGATTTCAGGTTCGTCTTATCCAACCTCTAACTTATACTTTGTACAAGTTTGGAAGATTGAGTGCATACTGAATGAAAACTTGTATAATGATGATTATACTTTAAGTGATATGTCAATGAGGATGAAAGAGAAGTATGACAAATATTGGAAGAAATATAGTACAATTCTAGCTTTTGGAGCTATTCTTGACCCGCATTTGAAGCTTTTTTTCTTAGACTTTTGCTACACAAAACTTGATCCTTTTACCTCTCAAAATAAGGTTAAAAATATAAGAGAAAAGTTTGAGAAGCTTTATGAAGAATATGCGAGCAATCTCAAAAGATCAAGTGCTTCTATTTCTCATTCATCTATTAAATCCAATCTCCTGCACAAGTCAAGTGGTGAAAGTAGTAGGCCTAAAAATTAAAATTATACATCAATGTAAATTCTTTCATACTAATTTAATCATTTTTTCATTGTTGTTTCGTTTATATAATTGAGATATCAAATCTTGCAAGAGTTTGAAATGTTTGAGAATGAAAGTATGCTTGATACTGGTAAGAGTGAATTAAATCTTTATTTGAATGAACCAAAAGCTAAATTTGGTGATGGGGATGATTTTGATGTGCTTAATTATTGGAAGAACAATGAGAATAGATTTCCCACACTCTCAATTATGGCCCGAGATGTGCTGAGTATTCCAATTACTACTGTGGCATCAAAATCTGCTTTTAGTATCGGTGGGCGTGTTCTTACCAAATATAGAAATTCCACTCTTCCTGAAAATGTCCAAATGTTGATTTGCACCAGGAATTGGTTGCATGATTTTCACGTGAATCCTAATGGTAAGGCTTTGAGTTATTATGCTTAATATTTTAATATTGCTTGGTTATATAGGGATTGATTGTCTCATTTAGTAGTTTTTTTCAATTGGTTATGAGTTTTAGATGAAGATGATTCTAATACTAGTGATCATAAAAGAACAACATCACAAGCCAATGTGCATCAAGAAGTTCAAATTGAAGATTAGAGAAGTATTTCTGTTAGTAGCAAGTTGAAATTTATAGTTTAGATCCATTGATTCTATTTAGGTTGAGCTTAATTGATTTAATTGTGATGATATTTAGTATTTACATTGATTTTGTGCAGGATTGTTCCTATGGAGTTTAGGCCACTGCTGCTGCATACTTGGCCTTCATTCTTGAGTATCTGACAGCTGAATTTCTTGAACTTTTTGACAACAATGCTGGGAATTTACATTGATAGCAATGCCTCCATTCTTGAATATTTACATTGACAACAATACTGGAAATGCATGTAATTAGAATATTTTGTCACCTTGATTCAGTTTGTAGGAAAGTATGCTAACTTTTTTCACTTAATGCTTGGTATTCTGAAGATTTAGTCATTTAATTTCTTTGTTACAATGTTGACATCTTATTGTAATCTGCTGCCCCAGATGGATCACACAAGTCATTTTATATAAGATTAGTTTCCTCTACATTACTATAAAATCTATTATCATTAGTGTTCCAATAATCTATAAGAATATGTTGTCACTTTTTTTTATGAGAAAATGTTGCTCCTTAATCTATTTTTAATGTAGGTAAGGACTTTTGAGACACATTGTGGATCCCTGTGCCATTAACTGTTCTTGGAGAAGCTATTGCTGAAGAAGATATGAGTGCCATTCTCTTCATTTATGTAATTACTGAACTACGAAAATTTGGCCATATTTGTTTAAATATTGTTTCTTAACTTTATGATAGTTTACCCCAAATTATCATGAGCTTCTGATAGTTGATTGTAAGTGAGTTTTCTTTGAAGAGAAGTTTGAGTGTGAGACATCTTTAGCAAATATATATATAGGGAAAAAATATTTCTACAACCACTTTAGATAAGCTTATCTACAGCTACCCTTTTATAATTATGTTCTCCCGGGAGAATATAGTTATAACACTAAAGTTTTTTTTTTCTCTCTCTCCACGTCAGCAGACAGGTTCTAAAAAGTAAATGAGAAGAGAAAAAAAAACAACTTTAGTGTTATAACTATGTTCTTCCGGAAGAACATAGTTATAAAGGGTAGTTGTAGATAAGCTTATCTAAAGTGGCTGTAGAAATGTTTACCCCTATATTTATATATATATATATATATATATATATATATATATATATATATATATATACATTGTTTGTGAAGCTTAAGTATACCACCATTGTTGATAAGGTTTGAATGCATAATTATCAATATCGTATGATACACAATATGATTCGTACTGTACGATACGATTCACAAGTACAACGATACGTATCGTGGGGTGTAACAGAAAGTGATCTGTATCAGACGATATGATACGATACATATCATACATCATACGATATGAAAATTAAATTAAAAATTTAATTTTTAATAATAAAAAAGAAATAAAGATTTGATTTATGATATAAATTAAAAAATCTAAAAAATTATTAATAACAAGGAAAATAAAATAAAGATTTGATTTATGATTTAAACTCAAAAATCAATCTTAAAAATTTGTATTAATAAAGGAAATAATTAAATAAATATTTTAATATCTATTTTTAAATTATTTTTTATTATATTTTTCTATCTTATGAATCGATACGATTCACAATACACGATACGAATAATCAATCAAACTACTTATTGCGATTCAACAATCTTGTTTCAGTGCACCTCTTTTGTGACTAGAGAAGTTTGATACTTTTGTCATTCTCCTATTTCACAGTGAAAGATTTTCTAAATTAACGTAATATGTTTTTTACCTCCGGAGAGGTTTTTCATGTTTAAATTTGATGTGTCATCTTCTCCATTTCCCTGTTTTTTTTTTTTTTTTTGCGTTTTTGGCTTCTCTGGTGATTCCTGATAGTTTTCTGTGTTGGCCGACCGGTAAGATAGTTTTACCGACCGATAAACTAGCTTTTGCATGAATTATTTGAGGTACCCATCCCAACACAAACATGTATAAAACAAGACATTGAAAAATTGACTTTTTGATATTATGTTTTAAACAAAGCATTGTATTTTAGTGGATTTATAAATATAAAATCCAATAACTACAATAGGTGCATTTTAAGATTTATATTGCATATAAAATGATTACTTATGATTTAAAACAACACATAATTTATATTTAATGGATTTCATCTTATATCAAATATAAAAGTAAACACTGTATTTTATTTTATTTTTTGTAAATAAGGAGGGGATAAACATTGTATTTTAGTGGGACGTTTTGATATGATGTGCTACTTTAACTTTTGTTTTAAAATAATAACTCTTTGTAATACAGTAAAATTAATTCTCTTATAAAACTAGATTATTTTTATTAAAATATTATTCAAATTTTAAAAAATACAATTATACTATAAACTAAATTATAGAACGTAATTAAAAAAGCGTAATATTTCATTTAAATATAATTTGTGTAATAAACTATTTTTTTATGAACGTGTAAATGTATATATTTTTAATATTTCAAATTAAAAGGAGTATATTTAAGGTTGCATCTTTTATTAGCAAAGACAAAGTGGAAAGTCTTTTGAATATGTTTATAATCTTTTGAACTCAAATATTTTAATAAATCTTTTGAATTACTTATATTAAAATCATATTTTAATATCAAAGGGATTACTTATGATTTATAAAATCCTATAAAAATCATATTTAAACTTATAATTAATGACTTATAAGATTGGGTTAAAGTCATATCTGATTCATTATGTGCAATCGTTGTATAAAACACAAGTGATTGGGTTAGATTTATATTTTTTGTAATCAATTTATAACGAATTAAAGTTATGGCCTCTGCAAAAGGGCTAAAGAATGATTCAATCAGATGTGATGAAGTGGCTGTAGGGATTTGTTGCTTGTGATTGGCATTTCGCGGTTCCTTTGGTTGTGTAGATGACGTGAGTAGGTTTACGTGGATGACTTTGCTTGCTAAACTTTCAGTGCGCAACAGAACCAGTAAGTGGAGCGGAGGTTCAAATGTCTGTCCAAATCATGAGGAAACTATT